ACGTGCACAGGCGACTACTATAGTGCACAGGCGACTACACCAAAATTGGTACTAAAAGTGATTTTTCACTTAGTACCCTTGGTTATAACGGCATGTGCATTACTGCGAGTACCACTGTAAGATTCAAGGAAACTGGATATATGAGTTTAAACACGAACTTTCCATAATTCTTTCTTTCTTAGACTACAACTCTGAAAACCTAGACCACTGCGACCCAAAGGTTACTCCTAGAATTTTTTTTCTTGTCCCAAGCCGAGGGGAGATATGTGGGTGGGGCGATGTCGCTGAGAAGAGGTACAGTGACCTTTTTCACGGTTGGGTCGAAGCTCATATACAATATTGGAGGGGGAATTCTTCGGTAGTGGTAGAAGTACTGTTCCGAAGTGCAGCCTCTTTCAGATGAGCATTCACTGCCATAGCAGAGCAGTAATAGTAACGTTGCAGTCGTTCAAGGTACGCTCAAAGATAGTCAAGGAGTGTTCGTCCTCACTATTAATAACAAAAAACGACTTCATTATTAGACTCGTAGCCGATGAGCTCGGATTAGGATTCTAGTGCTGTCGGTCTGTTCGTCTATCTGTATATACGCGAACTAGTCCAGTTTAACCCTGGCCGGTCCAACACCGGGGTGTATCAAAATATTTTTCGCGCAGAACTTCTTTTTCTTCTTTCTTAGTAGTTTTTGAGATATCGTTCTGAAACTTTGCACTCTCTTTTACTCCTTATGAAGCTGCTCATTTGTCGGAATCGCCGATATCGAACTACTATAGCATATAGCTGCCATACAAACTGACCGATCAAGTGCTTGTAAGGAATTTTTTGGATTTTTAAGGGTATTATAGCTGCGGTGCAATCGAAGTTACCATTTTTTCTTGTTTTGCTGAAACTTTAACCTTTAAAAGCATACGTACTTTATTCGAAAGTCCGTTGTTTATTTTAAATGGCACATACGAAACAAATACTCAAATACATTCCCTTGACCAGCTCGAGGTTAGTTGTGAAAGATCACATCAGATAGAAAACGATTCAAGGGAAAATCAATTTTCTCATGGAACCGGAATGGTATAAAACAGCAGTGTAAATAGTGGAAACATGAAATTTACAAAAAGAGTTGCGTATACGCCACGGGTGTTTCCTCTATTGCAATGCTAACCGCTAAAATTATGTGTCTACATTATATATTGATTGCGATTTATTTGGCTTTTTTTCAGTAATTTTTTTAGTTGCTTCATTATTGTTAACGAAGTTTGTACTTTACTTACTTTTGCTCTATTATTTTTAATTTTCTTTTGTAATAACTGTACCAGCAACACTGCGGCTTCGGTTTATATAAACGCAAGCAATTCCTCAAAAGTGCTTTATTTTTCTGTGAGTTATATTTCTCCCCCACTTTGGTTATGCATTGTTGTATATTGTTGTTGTTGTTACAGCTTTTCCCCAACGCAAAGCTTATTGTTTACATTTTTATTTGCCAACACTAGCGTGAATTATTATTATTATTTTTGTTGTGCGTTCCTCAATGCGCAAATCAAACAACACTTTGTGAAAGTTTTCAACTTTCTGGCAGCACTCATTCTGCCAACGAAGTGGTCAGCGGCAAACAAGCAAGCAACACTATGTGCACACACACACATACACACTGTTATTAGCTTGTATACATTTTGTTTATAAACTCATGAAATGCTTATGTGCATTTATTCTCATTTACATGCGCATACATACATATGTAAGCATCCACACACACTTGCATAGATTCAATAAAGTTGTGCTTGCCTCCAACTCATTTAAAAATTTGCGCTTTGAAAGTTGTTCAATTGCGGTTGCTGCCACATCGTTGGCTAATTGAGTGCGCCATTAAAGCGTGTGATGCTCATGCATATGTATATATATATGTATATGTATGTATGTATTTGCTTTAATGTATGTATGTATGTATGCGTAAATTGGCAGAACAACACAAAGTAAACAGGCAAACAACAATGCATAGAAATTTCAAACAACAAATTGGCGTATTCTGTAAAACTGTTTTTAAATAGTTGTTGCTGGATTTCCTTTTTTCCAATTTTGAGGCTTATCGCCTATTGTTGCAATGGTTTGTGGATTTCCACTTTTCTTTGCCTCCTACGAATTATTTATACGTTTTAATAATGAAGTAAGTTTAATTACCTTTCTGGAAGCTTTTCGCATTCGCAAGGTCAAATTTTTGAAATAGAGAATTGCAATACTAAATTCTTCAATTTTTACTCTGATTTTTCTAATGTGAATCGAACTAAGTAAATAAATACAAATAAATAAGGGAAGGCCGTTCTAAACACAGAGTTGCTTCTCAAATTCCTATTGTGATTGGTGATGAAAAATTGAAATGTGGATTGGATGTGAAAGCTGGCCAACTAGCCAAATCAAAGGAGGAATTGCTCTGTATTTGGTGGGATCAGAAGCGCATGCTGTATTATAAGAAAAAACAGCAATTTGTCAAATTAAAGCGAATGATTGCCGAAAAATGCGCGGAATTCGCGACTAGATACGAGGTAATAATTTTCCATAATGACAACGTTCGACTTCATATATTAAAAAAGGTAAATTATTTGGAAATCAGCGGCTGGGTATTTTTGTCTCACCCATCTTACAAGTATAGCCCAAACCTTGCTCTTATGACTACCATTTGCTGGAATACTGTTCACATTAGAAGAGTGTATCAAAAATAGCCTTTTGGTTATAGTTGGTGACGGTTGGTAATATTTATTAAAATGCTTCTTTCCTCTTTCCAGATATCTAACTTTATCTTATTTACGGCTTATCGCACGTCATAGAAAATTTCTACCTATTGTACCGACGACTTATGCGTCTACTTTGCTGCAGTTCAGATTGATTTCATTTTTGGAGCACTTTCACGATACTGATTAAGATGTACACTATATTTTTTTATGATACAATAAAATTTTAAAATACTTCATAAGTAAAAGTTAATGAAACACAAACGATTTTCTATAGTTGCTTTAAAAAAGTGGATCGATTACAGATTTCTTTTTATAAAGAGAGTGAATTTCACAAATTGATGATTTTTTTCAGAAGCTCACCTATTCACATAAAAAAATCCCTATTGTTTTTGTTGTTATTGTACTAACTCAAAATATTCCCCAAATTATTTGAGTCCATTCTGGTTAGGTGAACCCGATCATAAGAACTGAGGAAACGATCTATTCTATTGGCAAAGTCGCCAGACAAAAATTGCTTTTAAGCGTATACCAAATGATCTACTAGAGTTCAATAGTAGAGTTCAATTACTAACTTTGCAAAAGATGAATATTTTCATATTCTATAGGAAATTTGTTATTTATTCCAGTGATTTTTCTTACACATTGCTTGAATACCACTTTAGAATTACATTTAAAAGATTTATCAACTTAACTGCCATCTTTATTAGTCTCAAATGATGTTTTACTTCATTTAATACAAAAATATGCTTTACAGTTAGCTCATTTTAATTGCAAACGCAAACGCAACAAAAAATTGAAATTTTTCTTTGTAAACACCTGGGTATTGCTATTGGTTACCATTTTTATACTCTCGTTAAATGATGTACAAAGTATAATAACACATCTACTAATCGAGATAGATATAGAGTTACACATATCAAAATGTCCATCCATTTATATAAAATTCAGTACAAATATTCTTTGGCTCTCTGAGGAGATTGGTATTGTAGATGAGCCAAAACAGACCATTTCTACGTCCAAAAAATACCGTTAAGTGAAATAGAGTATAGTAAGGCTGGTTGCCAGTTGCCTTGACCAGTTTCCACCAAATAGTCGAAATTGAATTGAAACAACCACGCCTACTTTACATACTATAACACAATTTTAAATTCCATATTCCTTTATTACTATATATAATACTTTGACTTTAGAATATACAAACTAAGTACAAAATGAGATATCGGAAAAATATTTTGTGCAAAATATACTAGTCTTTTATAATATCGCTCGCCTAAAAATGTTCGAAATCGGACTATAGCCCTTTCAGCTCTCATATACTGAACATGAGAGCTTTAGTACTTAAACCTGATGTTACATCGATAATATTGCCCATTCTGTGAGATATCTTATCTTATTATATTTTTTGAAATTAAGTGAGCATTTATCATATTAAAGCGGTCTGTTGCTAAAAATTTCTAAAACATGTTTAGTATTTCTTCTAGGCCTCCTGAACTTGATATCATGATTTTGGAACTAACTGGTTGACTTTATACTATATTATAAAATTTCGACCTAAATGTTAAACATCTTAACCGAACTAAGTCAACTATTTGCATAGATATACAATTGTTTGGTGCTGAAAATGGTTCACCCATGGTTCGGTTTTATAATCCTATCTATTATTCTAATTGACTTAACCTAAAGTTTTGTCAACAATTGGAAATATTTGCACACCATTGAGCTTGGTAAGTTGTAAGAGTAAGAAAATGTTCGGTTACACCCGAACTTAGCGTTTCCTTATTTGTTTCTTAACACATCAGCTAATCGATTAGTTATTTTTCTTTTTGTTATACCTTTCAATTAAATTAATGCACTCATGTTTCTCTGCATTCAAACACAACACTTCACTCTTGCCTACACTTCCACGAGGAATTCAACACAGTTCACTGCATTGCTTTCAGCTCAAGCATAGCCTTTTTCCGCCCAGTAACTTTGCAGTAAAAATGCAACGGTATTTTGAGCATTATGATATTTGTTATTACTTTTTTTTTTGAACCGACTTAAACTTTTCTACTTTCATAAAGGGGAATCGGCTAATTGCTCACTGCGCTTGATTGGCGCATTTGCCTGGTTGAGTGCAAAATATTACGGCAGTAATGTGGAGGGAGTGTGGAAAGAATAATAAATGCAGCTGTAATCCCTTAAATACATTTAATCCCTCATTTGCGGCATTTCTACGTGTTAATCTTGCACTTCAATAATCGAAAATATTTTTATTTTGCTATTAAAGAAACATTGACTTACCTCGCCCTTTCGCTCATCTGGCAGAAAGTTACCGGTGTAGAATTGCACACCTGGTTGATTGCTATAGACCTCCATCCAACGACCAGTCGGCTGGTGAACAACTCTGTAAAGACGAAAAAAAGAAATGTAATGAAGAGTATTTATTGAAGCGAGAGAGATTGTAATGCTGATAATTATATTATTACCAGTAATTATTGTATATATGTCTGCCATATTTAGTGATAATAACACTAATTTACAGTCATTTTGGGATTGGGATATTAGAGGATGTATCTAGCTAATTTTGGGTTGCTAAAACCGAAAATTGTAGTAAAAATTTGCCAACACGTAGAATTTTTGGTGTTGCACCCGAGGGGTGTAGGGGTCAAACCACCACCATTTACCAAATTTAAAAAAAATAGCTGAGTTTTGAACCTCAAATACCTCCACAGCCCTCTTAGCATATCAGTCGCAAACTTTTCCTTTAAATTGGGGCAATAGTGTCATTTGTAAATATTTTACAGACACATTAACAAAACGGTACAATTTACACTAATTGTCTTGCAACTTACTTTGCCACTCTGGAGATCGCATTCTCACTCACTCCCTCCCGTGTTACACAAAAATTGTCATCGAAACCCAATTTTCTATCCTCAATTTGTCGTATACGTCGACCCAGATTTTCGCCACATCGAAAGTCATAGGCAGTGTAGACGACCGGCAGATATATGCCTGTTGGAATACAAAAGTTATCCGTTTGAGTTATATCACGCCCATATATCGACACAGTGTGTTGATAAAGTGCCTCCCTGCCGGCATCCTGAAAATTTAATAAAGCATAATTTATAAGTGATTACCGTTAAACTCTTAATCAATATTATTTTCGGAATTCATCCAGATAAAATTAATAAAGAAGAAAATAGTTATAAACTCGATTTACGAATTCCTAACACCCGCTTCATTTATTAGGTGAAATGTGCACCAATTTGTGCGATAACTTGTTGTCGTTTTGAAGATAATACTGCGTCAAGCAATCACAGAACTGTCTGAAAAGCTTTTTTAGTACGACCTCTTACTTGTTTGAAGTCACATATATCGTAACCCCGCCACACTTATAATATCTTTCGGTATACGGATTACTAAAGCTATATTTTGGTAGAGTTATTGATTACTTTTTACAAGTCCTTATATATATGTATTTTGCAGTTGACTAATATTTTCGCTTCTAAGAATCTTCTCTCTCCGGATATCGTTCCCGAAGCAAAGCGCTAACCAGGCGAGCGACGCTTCTAACTCCGATTCCAAAGATGAATTTTTGGCATCATCACACATTACATTTAATATTACAAATAAAATAATACCTACACATATATACTTTAATTACTCACATGTCCAGCCAAATTGAAGTACGAATGATTTGTCATATTGACCACGGTTGTCATTGTTGTTTTTGCAGTCATAAAAATACGCAAAGTATTATCTTCGTGCAGTGTATAACGGACAGTGGCAAAAAGTTCACCGGGATAACCCTCATGACCGTCTGGTGAACGATGACTAAAAGTGACACCATTTTCATGAATTTCTTTCAGATTCCATGGTACTTTATCGAAACCAATATAGCCACCATGCAAGTGATGTTCACCATGATTTTGCCTAACTTGAACTTCTTTTTCGTAAATCTTGAAGTTACCATTGGCAATGCGATTACAAACACGCCCAATGGTGGCACCAAAGTACGGATTATTCGGGTCTTCATATTCTGAATGGAGAGAAGAGAGGAGAATATGTTAATTAAAATATTTGGGAGAAATGTATATTAGATAATAAGTGGAAATAAGTACAATAATATGATATGATTCTTAATGAAGTTTCTCTATGGGAATACATAAAGTTCGTAAACAGGAAATAGTAGCGGACAGCAAAAATTTGCGAAAATACTAACAAAATGCAAAACCAGAAAAATTATAGTTTCGGTACAGAAGCTATGATGACCTTACGATGTGAATTTCTTATTTATATTGATTTCGATCGGTTGGTTTGAATGTCAGTTATTGGCTAAAGTGATCTGATCTGAACACTTGCTTCGGTGATTTTAGCTTTGCCTTGAGCTATGTTCTATGCCCGATTTCGTGAAGATATCCTGTAAAATAAAAAAAATTTTCCATACAAGGATCTGGGTTTGATCAATCAATTTGTATGACAACTATATGCTATAGTGTTCTGCCAAATTAGCAGCTTCTTGGAAAGAAAAAGACAACAGATCATCATCTCAAAAACTAAGAGACTAGTTCGCATATACTTTTATTAAGACGGACGCACTTACGGACATGGAAAAATCGACTCTGCTCGTTACGCTGATCATTTTATAGGGTTTGCAATAGTTTCTTAGGATCAAACTTAATATAAACTGTAAAGTTATTTCCCCAAGCTCCGTGATTTTATTCTGAAGAAGTTTCGATAGCAATTTCGAGAATAAATATTGGATTTATTCCTTTAAAAAATCATGTTTTCTTTAAGATGAAGAACTGTACCATCTTAAACTGCTGGTGATCGGGGAAAGAGCGCAATCTTTTAAGAAGTTCTGTTTTCAGTAATGATCGTCAACTTCAACAGTTCCTGTAATCTTAATTTTTTGCCTCTTCGTTTGAGGATAAGTAACACTAATTCCTAATTGGCAAATCTTCTCTGAGCTTGATAATAGACCCAGTCAAAGTAAGCTATAAACGTCCGCCAAAGGGTTCTCTACTAGTGTGTTGATTGCGAGTGAATCGTTTTGGAATTTTTTTTTGTTTTTTGAAAGCGGATATGGAGGCAAATTTCTTTAGAATAACCAGTCGTTTAAAATTATTATAAAACCCTTGAACATTACCCCCTAGACCCATGATATCTAAATTACCAACAACATAAGCTGTGAGACGAAAATAATATATAAGTGTGCGACCGCGAAAAAATTACATCGGAAAGAATGCGCTTGATTCGCTTAGCATTGCAGGGTTGACGTCCGATGCTCTCATAAGCTCTCACTTTGGTTTGGCAGCTAGTAAAGCTGCTGAAGTGTGTCTGCATGCGAGAGTGAGTTTGTTGTTGGCGCTGTTTTTGTGGCATGCAACAGACTTACCGGAAGTGGTCATTGCATACCAAGTACCACTACAATCATCCACCATCCGACATCTGCCGTTACCTCGGATACCACATATAGTCGCGACGGGCCACTTAAAGTTGGCATTAGTGACAACCGAGTGGGCGTTTTTTTACCCCATACGCTAGACAAACGTTTGAGGTCAAGTGTGTTTTTTTTACCTAGAACATATGCGTGTATATACATATGTCGTGTAAGTTGTGCCACCATCATTGGTGGTCGGTTGTCTTCATTGCTGCGAGCGCCGTATTAGCGCCGCACGAAGCACATGAAGTGACCAAAAATGCAGTATTCGGTGGCTTAGTGCGATGACCAGTACACACATATCATATCCGGCACATGACCCCATCTCTGTTATGGTCGTAGACGGGTCGCATTTTTGCTGAGGTCAGTCGAGTTGTGAGCCACTACGGCCTGCCTGTTGGTGCTATTGTTAGTGTTTTTGTTTTATGGCCACAGTTTCTGTTGCCATTGTTTGCTTTGCTCTTTGCATTTTCCCCGGGTGTGAATTGCGATTTTTGCTTTTGTCTTCCGTTTCGCCGCTGCAACGCGTCAGTTCCGCTTAAGTGGGAAATTTGTTACCCTCGAAGCGTTACAAGTGGTAACACCAAATTGGCCCTTAACAGTGAGTGTGAGTAAGCCGGGAAAAAACAAAAAACACAAAATATTGCCTGACTACGTTGGCTCAGATGGTAAAAATTCAGTTGGTGCAAAGTACATACATGCTTAGGAAGATAGACAGACAGAGAGACAGACAGACAGCTGCATTCGTATGTGAACGTACCGCCGGACGCACGGACGGACGTACGTGGCTTTAGCTGACCACTCCAGATGGCAAAGTGTTTCTGTGCATCCGGTACTTCCGGCTGTTTTTGTACACTCTACATTCTATTTTTTCCGGTTTCCCCTTTTGCAGCTACCTTCTCCTCCTGTTCGAACATTTGAAACATTGCTAGTTTAACACAGCCATTGTTTAAGCTGTTTGTGTCATTGTTTGCTTGCCATCAGTGTCAGTATAATATTTGCCACGCTGTTAAAGGGAAATGTGTTCACGTCACGTGCGTTGCAAAGCATGTTTGTGACACTTATACCGACATATGAATATGTGTGTACACATGTGTGCGTGTGTGTGCATGCATGCCATGCTTGACAGTAACTAATACTGACACTTCTTCTTTATTCCTTCCTCTTGTGCGATTTTTGCTTGTTGGCTTAAAATCATTTAATAGTTTCCGAAATTGTGGCATTTTAAGTTTTATAGGTTTTTTTAGCAGATTTCTCCTGGGCGCGCTTGAAAGTGGAACACTTGTTTAAGCCAAGTTCTTTTATGACCTAAAGGAAGGCATGTGTAGTTTCTGTACCTTTCAGTTTAGAATATTGCGGATTGTACGGATTATGGTTGCGATATCTGCTTGACCCGTATTTACAAAAACTGGACTTTTTGTTTTTGAAGAAAAGGAAAGTGTAATTGTTGAACTGCCGGCTCGTCTTAGCTCGTCGGAGATCCTTCTTTTACAGGCTCTTTTTGTTTTAAAGCATTTTGTCTAATTTTTAGAGTGTGTCCAGCTACAAAAACAGTAACCACATCCAGATACCAAATATGTAAAAAAATATCGTGCTTTGTTCAGATTTTGTGAATCAAAAAACTCAGTTCATGCATATTACAAAAATGTATGGGATTCCTCATGTCAAACATATCCTAGATTTGGCTGTTCGGACTTTTTATTGGGTTATTTGAAAAGTTACTTATGTATAAAAGTATGACCGATTAAACCCCTTTGGGTTATCGAAAGCTCTCTGACATTTCATTATCTTATGACTCATTAATCGCAAAAGTTAATTTGGTCTTGGAGAGGTCTAAAGCTAAAAAATATAATTTTCTTACTAGACTAATAGATCTAATAAAACGAGTTTTACTACTTAGGCGCTAAGGTAAAGAAGGCAGCTACAGCACTTTACACCTGTAAAACACAGCAGTTGTAACGCCGATTATGATGGTACTTAGACTAAGGGAATCCTCCCTATTTGTTATCTGTAATAAGGGGAATTCTAAGAAACTTAGTAAGTTTCCGTTTCTACCACGGATTTTCGAGATGCTATAGAATTAAACTTAATTTCGGTCACCAATTTTGGCTTCACTTCCAGAGAAGAGTGGGAAAGGGGTGAGGTCGACAGGGATACGGGAATAAGCATCTATACGGATAAGTTCATACTAGAGTCCAATGGGAGGGAGGTGGTGTCTTTTCAGCAAAATCAGAATATAGATCACAGCAAGTACAAAAAATCCCTCTTGTTCTGACAATATATATATAGGTATAGATAGCCAAGCGGCTTTGTCGCACTAAAGCCTCTTAGGATTTCATAAGAGATAGTGAAAAAATGCTTTCATCCTTTAATGAATCTCACATCTTACTTCACGATAAATGGATTCCAGGACATAGTGATATTCCTAGCAACTATGAAGCAGATGAACTAGCCAGAGCGGGCACCACCATCTACAAGTTGACTCTGAAAAACAAGGAAATTTATATGCCTCTGGATACTTGTACATATTTAATCGACAAACATGTTATAAATATAGCAGATTTTCGGTAGAGTCAGTCGCTAACTTGAAGAAGAAGAAGATACTATAGAACAGCTTCTATGAGAATGTATAGAAGATAGTATGTATAGAAAGAGAATCGCAACTATCGGTCGAGAGTCTCGTGACGGTGGTTGCACAGAAATTACTTTTTATATTTATGAACTTCATCATTAGCTTAGAGTGGTTGAGAGAGGGCATAATAAAGTGAAGAGATTTTAGTCCCGGTGGTTTTACAATGTGTCTCCTAAAGGCCTATTTGCGTCGTCAGGCATCCACTCTACCTCCCTACCTACCTAGGGATTGAGTCCTAAGTAAATAAGAAATAATTTCTCTGTTTTTCGAAGTTATTGAAAAACTCATTATTAATTATGGTATTCTACAAGGTTTCAAAGTCATGCCAGTAGTTTTGAACTATAATTAGTTTTGGAGATATCGATCTGATATTTTGAACACATTTTCTTCAAGAAGTTGCTCATTTGTCAAAACCGCCGATATTGGCCGACTATATCTTCCTTACAACTTTACACTTTACTACAATCTCCCAAGAAATTGTTTAACTGGCCGATAAAAATCAAGTTCTTGTATGGAATCTGTTTTATTTGTGATGGGTATTTCAGCTTAGCTGCAACCGAAGCTAACAATTTTTCTTATACTCATGATACCCAGGAAAAAGTGGTTATTGCAGTTAGCTTGTGTTTTATGTAAAACTGATGATTATGAAATTATTTTTATGTAGCTAACGAACCTGCACTAAAATATATGTACTTAAACACTTACCTTCTATTAAATCGAAGCCCAGAACAACGTCTTGCAATTTGCCGGATTCATCTGGAATTCGTAGAGAGTAGATGGCGGCACCATAAGATATGACCTTCATATTTACAAATTTAGATTTGTTTTATTGGCAATTGGATTGCACAAAAGATTACCGCGAATTTCACCGCAAGTTAATTATATTTAATTATTTTGAAAGCATTTTGTGTGATTTATATTTGATATAAGTGTGATGGCCAAAACAGTTTTCATTTCCATGTGTAATTCCCAGAGCAACAAAGTGGTCAAGAGGCAACATGTAAAAACAAAAAGTTCAATAAATAAAAAATATATAGCGTAGAATAAAGAATAATTATATAACTGATTATTTGTGTTGATACTATGCTAAATGGAAATTTAAAATGCAAAAAAAAAAAACCTCACATAGCCAAGAAACAATTTGCAACGACCAAAGAAATTTGGTAACTTCATGACGAAACGATTATTTAATAACCCATATTCTCTGCTGTATATGTATCAGTATATATTAATATTTATTTTTATGAGCACTATGTTAATTGTTGTGTCATATTTTGCTCACACACATGCCACATTAACACTTCCGAAAGCTTCCGCAGATTCGCAATATTCATTTATTTGACCGCTTTCGACTTTCTTGCTTCATAAATGATCCTCTGCTGCATACATACATATACACCGGGCGCATACAATCAGAGGACACATTACGGATAAATGTTGCGTAAACCTTGAAAAGACTTAATGAAAACGTTCAGATATTATAGCATGGCAGCGGAAAAGAGCCATATCGAATGTGTACCAACTTAATACCCTTGTTTGGCGGTCGAAGGCTCAGTGTTGCACGTGCTGCATGGTTTCTCGTAGTGGTCGTGAGAGGTAGCATCAACTGACACTCATAAATTTGGTGGTGTAAAAATAAGGTTTCGCATGGTGGGATAAAGAAAATTTTTCACATTCATTACGTTTTGTTGAATCTGAGAATTTCGAAGAATATGTTTAACATGGATTTTGCAATTTTACACCGTAAAATTGAGAGTATACAAGTTATATTTTTGATCAGTTAAAAAAAGGTAGAAATATGAGTCAGAAAGAAGTTTTTAATATAATATATTGTGTTATAAAGCCAAATCCAGATATTTTAGTCGAAATTGATTTGTTTGAGTATATTTCACTTAAATGTAATTCGATTGGATTATTGATATGAGACCCATACTTTCTATCTTGGTCTACAGTTATTGACAGTCCAGAAGAAAGTGCTTTGGTTACTCTAGCTCACATTCTTACAGAAAATTCGACATTTTCCGCCTCACAAAAATTTTAGCCTCACCTCATGGATGTTTGGTTCGGTATGACTCTTATAAGTAGGTTAAAACTGCGAATTCATCAGCACTTATCGCATTAGAACGGCAAAGATCATAGTTTTGATTTTGCTGTGATACCTTGACCGGCCTTGAAAGCTTAGTCAGGTAACACAATGGTAAAAAGTGAAAAAATATTAGAAGGATAAAACTCATTGAAAAAGGAAGAACATATAACAAAAGTGAAAATTAAAATACTGACTAACGGTTTTTATAGTTGCTCCTACGAAATAACAGTAAGATGAAATCTTATCAAAAATTTTTCAATGAACAAAAAACCCAATGACTAAAATAAAACAGATATTTTAATTAAAGGATTTTTCGATTGACAATTAGGGTACTTTCCCGAGATTAAGTCAAAATAAGTTGAAAAATAAAATATTCTTTTTATTTTAATCTCATTTTAATCAATATAAAGCTATTTTATATTTTTATGCCTCAAACTTTTCCGTTTTGTCGGAAGTCGAAACAAACCGTTTTTACCCTTAAAAGCTGAACCAAAATAATCTTACTCTGAAAATTATCTCTTCTAAACATAAGTAAAAAACTTATTTTTATTTTTTTTTTCGATACTTTCTTTTATTTCCAGTGTTTGCGCTTTAATTTTTATTTTTTATATATACGAGGCTTACAAATATGTCCTCGTCGCACCCATTTGTGCCCTTTTCAGTATTATACGACTTCAACTCGTTAATTCAATGCTGTCCTCAGAATCATTATCACCATCAATTGAATGGTATATAAAATGCTGAATTCGATAATTGCGCAACCCTTCCCAGTAATGGATTTTCTTCCTCTGCTTTCACCAATTTCATATTTTTAATAAGTATTGATTGCACTGCACTCCTTTTGACTTTAAACATATTTGATTTTCTTGAATATTTATTTCTTTGTTTGCTGTGCTTTGCTAGCAAACTTTAAGCGTTTTTGGGGTTACTTTAGCCGATTAACCCTATTAATAATGTCAATAGAATTTTTTGGGTTCTCAATTCATCCCACAGCGCACACTTTCGCCATTCACAACCGAAAACGGTCAATTCACAATTGCCTATACCGTTGTCACTTCTTCGAAAACCGTTTTAACATCTCCCTTAACACGCCCCAATTGTCGCTGTTGCTATTAAGAGTTCATTGGACCCTGATATATTAATGTTATTGCAGCCATGTATGTATGTACCTATGTACCAGCCATGGTCTTGGCCATGTGGCTTAAATGGTTGCCTTGTCGTTTTATGGCATGACAAAATTATAGAGTGTTGCGATGTCGTGGATGGGGGCACATGTGAACGTTAGGCTTAGGAAAAAGGGTTGCTTGATGTCTTATGCCTATCTTCGGTTCGTTTGTTGCCACTGATAGCTGGTATTTGTTGCGCTGTCGCTTGGAAGAGGTTATAAGGGTATGGGTGGGAATTGTGATAATAGTCAATTCGTGATACGGAAATGGCATTTTGGGTTATGTCTCTTTTAACTATCTCGATAAACGTTAGAGTCAGTTGGTCGGTCGGTCAATCGACCCATAAACCCACCGCTTGGTCCACTTTTGCTTACATGCTTCTAATACACAATTGTCTAATAAATGTTTGCATGAAATTGCTTATGCACCAACATATTAATATTCGTCGTATTATTGCGAAGACAATATATATATGTACATATATGTATATTCATAGTTAATATTTGAGGTTATGGATATTTTGGGATTTCTGCTAAGAGCTCACAATACAAGCTGCGAATGACAGTTTCTAATATATGAAAAAGTGAATAATTTTGATGGATTGAGGCATACCAACTGTTGATATGAATAAAAATTTAATGGATAAGCAAGCTGGTTGGCAAATATATACATTTTGGGTTCGAATTTATAAATATGAAAAAGCATTGTTGACGGTATCACCACCGTAAATTTTCAGAATTATGGTAAGAGATAGTTTTTGATTTAAATTGAAAAATATGGTTGAAAAATATACTGGTATACAATTTCTACTTCACGATGGTATTTGCGTTATAGAGACCTCACGGATTCAAATTCTCTCGCAGAGCTCATGTGCTTCGATCAAATTTTTAGTGATTCCATAATTCTATAAGGCAACTTGACTCATTTAATCACTAAAATTAGGACGAGAATATGAGCTATGTACCAACGGTTAAGGGTTTTATGACATTGTAGGAACTCGGGATATATATGTATAAATATATATATACTTGTACGCTATACTGCTAACAGGGTAAGGTTTGCCAATATGTTTCTAACATCCAGAAGGAAACATCAGATATCTTACAATATATATACCATATATAAGTGATCAGCGTGACGACCCGAGCCGATTTAATCATGTCCGTCTGTCTGTCTATCTGTATACATATTTGTGAATTATTCCATTAGTTTTGAAAATGTGGATCCGAAATTTTGAACACATCTTTTTCTCCCAAAAAACGGCTTATTTGGTGAAACCTAAGATATCGGACCACTATAGCAAATAGATGCCATAAAAACTGGATAATCAAAATTAAGCTCTTGTATAGGAAATTTTTAAAGAACCTCTTTCAAAAGTAGTCGGATAAGTTAGTTAACAAAATGGCCTATTGGAGGTCGGTAAACTTGAGTGGAACGATCTAGGTTTCGTATATAAAGAAACTTCACCCCAATTCGCTCAAGGTTGAACAAGAAAAATAGATGTTTTGTGGAAGTAGTTTTATTATATCAGATATTAAATTTACTTCAGCAAAATGTTGAGACCTTCTCATAAGACAATCGACATTATGTTTTAGCAATGCAAACTGTTCGATACAATGTTAAGATTTGAAAGCGCTAGACTTTTCTTTACGACGCTATGTATATTAACCGGATGATGTTATGCCAGCAATTCATTAGAGATCGTACAAAAACTAGACATTAAGATGTAGGGAGACTGTATCTTACCTAAGTTTTTTTTGATTTGTATAGGTTACACATTTTCTAGATTTTCTTTTTTAGGGTATCCGTTGGTTTACAATTTTTGAGTGAGCCTTCTTTAAGGCTTATGAATTTCCATAAACATTTTAACATTGCATGTTGAGGCGCTTTTGTATTAGAATAAAAAATAAAAACATTTGATGTTGAGAAACCGAGATCGAACTCAGGCCCAACGAATTGAAAGCAAGTTCTTTTATCATTAAACCGCACCACGAAAAATATCAAAAAAATCATGAATTAAAAATTCCAAAAAAAAATAACTAAAATTATCTAAGCCACTTAAAGTAGTGACAGTCCAACACACTGGTTACCCACGTTCAAGGCGTCCAAATTCAACAAAAAGTAGTAAAAATTTTAGAAGAGTATAGAAAATAGTTTTTGGCAATTGTAGAGTCATCATTATATATTTGATGACCATTTTTACAATTTTTAACTTTTTTGCACGGAAGATCACTGTACGGACAATATCCGGACTGCAGCTGTGGTGGACCTTTAATTAGGGTTGGCGGAGATCTCATGTCACTCGAAAAATATTTAATTATTTTCATAAAAAATTTTACTGTATATTCTTAAACTATGTACACATCTATTTTTACAGTTTTAAAACAATTGATACGGAATTTCTTTTTATCACCAAAAATCACCTTTCTTAGGTTGTCACAATATGTTAGGTATGCTTAATGAGGACAATCTTCATCGAAATATGAGTATATAAAGGTCCAGTGTACCAACAACGAGTATACCACTAGAGCATTGGTTTTAGATATTTAAAGTCATCTGTGATCAAATATTCTAACAAATACAAGCTGGAAGTCTTTAACCCGAATTCACAGAGTCGACAATGTCAAGGTCAAACATGAAATCAATCAGCAAGACAACAGTATGTTGCAGCACTTGATCGCTTATCATTTCGCCAAAGTAATTTTCCAAGCAAAGTCGCTAAGTCGCAAAGTCGCAAATCAACAAGTGGCACGAGTGCGCTCATGTGTACGAAACATACATACATTTATACTTAAGAGCAAGCTACCTAAACGTAACACTTCAGAAATGTGTCAATAAGCACTCACCTGCACATACATATTCGTGGCATCGTTCACCAAAGTGAAACGGTGTATATGAGCTAGCTCCCCCGTAATTGGATCTGTCACACTGCTAATCATATCCTGTGATACGTGAATCATTTTCGTAGATAGTGGGAATTTTCTTATTTATAAGTTTTTGTTTTATTCGACTATTATAATTAACCGCAGCGGTGAACACTTGAAAAGTATAATTGAATAAAATTATAAATTTTGCCGGCTAACAGTACCCAAGCCGAAAACACAGCGACGCGAATGCATGCACACAACAAATAGCGAACCAAGCGAATCTGTTATTTGTTTGAGGTGTCAATAATGTCAGCGAGAGAGGCCAAAAGTGTCTACATAGATATGTCAGCATGTGGATACTTGAGTGCATCAGTGAGTATATTGAGTGAGAGCCGCTAGATGTTTATATTGTTTAGCACTTGCAAAGCAACTAGCATGTGAAATTTTTTTAGTTTTCTTCTCCGCAATGCCATAATGACAAATAGTACGAATTTTTATTGTACAATAATACACAACTAAAATCTTTTAAATAAACTTAACCTTTAAATAAACTTAAACTAGTTTAAGTGCGCATTGTGTGAACAAAAATGTAAATATGTACAACTAAAGCACCCTGTAGAAAAATTAGTAATAATTTGCGAAATAAAAATGGATGGTATTAACCAGAAGAGAGAGATTAGAGAAAATATTAAAGAAACCTATTTTGCACACCTGTGTGAAATAAAAAAAATAAAAAAACAAGAAAAAACCGTTCACAAATATATAACATTCCTTAAAAGAACTTGATTTCGGTCGTTCAGTTTGTACGGCAGCTATATGTTATTGTGATCCGATCTGAATAATTTCTTCTTCAGACTTCTCTTTCGAAGTTTGCATCACTGCCTTAGGCCATAACCCATGCTAAATTTGTTCAAGATATCTCGACAAATAAAAAAGCTTTTCATGCAAGCACTTGATTCTAATCGTTCAGTTTGTATGGCAGCTATATGCGACAGCGGTCGGATATCGGCCATGCAGACAAACGAGCAGCTTCTTGGTGAGGAAAGACATATCTAAAATCGACTAAACTCGCCAAACTTGTAATTTATATATAATATATATTTACATTAAACAATTCTTTTCGTACAAAACTTTTATTTTGTATTCTTTGAGTCAAAATATTGGACAAGTATTTTTTTTTATTTTGACTCAATATGAAAAATTTTGTAGTTATGAATTTTCAAAATTTCTTTTGTAGTAAGTACTTTTAAATATTTGCGTATACGAAAACGAGTATTTCATTATAAAAATAACAAGCCAATGAGATACATCGCCAATCGCCCAAAAATATTTTGGTGTTAAAAAAATCTAGGTCGAGCACATTCAGACGCATTTGGTCAAAAATAAATAACAAAATTTAATAATAATTATGGAAGATGAAAGATATATTCGTGCAAATATATATTCGTATACTTAGTTCTCATGGATTCATGGAATTTTGCCGACATTTAGTTAGTCTATATACCGACATGATCATAATATAACAAAATATCTGTTATGTTTGTACACTTGGTAGAAAACTAAAATTGAAAAGAAGATCCATAACTCTGATAAAACGATATCAGCAAAATATTATAATTTTTATAGTAAATTCCCATAGCAAACAGAATTATGTAAATACACAAGTCACTCAAAAGTCAATAAATTTTTGTATTGTAATTAGGCTCTTGAATGCACTGCTCATCTCATTTTGTTCCTACTGGGCACTTTAAATACCTTATCGCTGGCTGAGGCTTATCAGAGTACGTACTTGTAGAACTGCATGATAAAGAGACTGTACTAAGTGCGAGCATTGTTCGAAATAGCAGAGCTGAAGTGAGAACGCATGAGCGTATGAGAGATCGCAGTCAATAAACTCAATATGTAAGTACAATATATGAGTTTTTATGCACGAATATGTCTATATAACGCTTAATCTAATATACAGTGTTACAAACAGGTTTTTATATATGCAATATTGTTGATAAAAGTGAACTCTTGAGCTTTAAGAAAAATTTGCGCAAATATGTGAGATATAGAGGGAGAGTGAGAGAATGTAAAGGTTATTTTGTTTATTTGCGGTGAGCAGTTTTGGTTTTATGAGCTTTTATAGCTGGTATGCCAAATTTAAGTGCAGTTTATATACAATACAATTTTAGCTATATAAACAGAAATATATATATCGGAGCAGCAGCGGTATAAAAATATGGTTTGAGGGTAATAAAAATAATATTGTATAATATAATATCTTAAAGCAATTTAATCGTCCAATATGTAGTTACCGAATATTGGATATATTTTAATTAATTTATTTTTTTTTATTTTCCTA